ACTTTTTGATCGTTTGACATGATTTAAGTGACTTACACGAAAGTGGGTTTGAACACAAAATCCCTGCTTGAGCATGATAACGGTTTCATAAATACGGGCCCCGGGGTATTTCGGCATGAGTTTGCTTGGCATTACTGGTTCATTGGACGAGGGATTGGTATATAATACTGAGAAGACATCAATAAAAACCGATTTGTAAACAACAACTGGATGTTGATTAGGTGATCTACAAGATGTTCGGGTGCCTGGACAGCTCACATGTCATTATGTTTATGATACATGTGTATCAAAATACAAATGTAATGAAATGCCTACCCTATTCCAATGTTTTGCCGCAAATCTTACTTTGCGGGTATAAAACCACAAGTCAGTAATTGAGTCCCCTGGCCAAGGAACCATTTATTTAAAAAAAAAAGTATGCATTCACCCATAAAGGAGTAGTCCTTTATATAATTATCCCTAGTTCTCTCATACATACTATAGAAAGTGGTACTACAATCCTAGTTACAGGTGGCAAAACCATTACACATCCATGAATTATGAAAGTGACAGACTGCTACTTTGTCGAATGAACCAGGGTCTGCATTGCTTTTATATGTGTAAATCCAATCGTCGAAGAAGTACAGCAGCAATTAGGTACTGTTTGTGACGCGAGGAGTGATGGCACTGAAATAAATTGAGTAGCAAATATCGTGACTTGTAAAAAAAACCACCGCAAAAACTATTATCAGCAATTTCTACAGGCGACCGACGGATTTACACAGCCTTGCATTGTTGAAAACAACATTAAGTCCGTGGTGCTTTAAAAGCCATCTTCACCCACGTCAACAGTTCTTTTTCTAGTTCTTTGAGAAGGATTACAGGACTAAAGGTAGCAACAGCAGATCAGACCATCATGCAATCTGAGAATATACATGACGTAGCTTCCGTGAACAGACTTTACCTGAAGGTCGTACAAGGTCGTAAAAACCTCTTCTTCATCCACTACTGAACTACAGAAATTGGTTTAAGGTGGCACCTTAAGGGTAATATGGTTAATGTGCAATCCCGAGGATGTTTAATGTGGAGTGTATTTACTGTCAGACATAGAGTAACCTTCACAAATAATGTTTGTTATTGAAAGCTGGAACTCATGAAGCAATCTAAAATCCAAAAGAGCTGACCCATTCTAGTATTTGAACAACACAGTAAGAAGTCAAATATCCCAGATACTTCTTTCTTCATTTTCAACCCCAAAAACAATTCCCTAGAAACCGATTTTGGGCCTACAGTGTAACTATGCACATCTGTCGGAACATACAAATCATATCTGTCACAATTTGTTTCGGGAACTTCCACGTTTACAGCACACGATCACTAATATGTGCTATCTTTTAATTTTGCCGCGAGAAAACGATGATGACGACGTCGACGACTATATTTTCGCCCTATTAATATCGTCTTGAGATATTGAACTCATTTCAGCCATGTCATATAAATAACTTACTTTCACGATGTTAAAAGGCTTTTACTCAAACAGATTATATAGAAACCAAGAGCCGTTGGTCTGAAGAAGAAATCGTTTAAAGAAACAAGTTGGCGGCGACGGGAGGACGACGGACACCGCGCGACGGCATAAGCGGCCTGGGACTCCGTGTCTGGTGAGCTAATACAATGATACATAAAACTAGATTAACAACAATAACTTGTATCACCATTAGACGACTATATGAATCCATGCTTCAAAAGATAACACAGTAACACAGACGTAAAATAAAACGTTTAATCACAGTGTAAGTACACGACAACGAATAACAGTAACTGACATTGGTAATAAAGTTTTTAACATCCCAACTATATACTGGTTCAGTAGTTCTTACATCCCAACTATACACTGGTTCAGTAGTTCGTTACATACCAACTATATACTGGTTCAGTAGTTTGTTACATACCAACTATATACTGGTTCAGTAGTTCTTACATTCAAATTATATACTGGTTCAGTAGTTCATTACATACCAACTATATACTGGTTCAGTAGTTCTTACATCCCAACTATATACTGGTTCAGTAGTTCATTACATTCAAATTATATACTGGTTCAGTAGTCCATTACATCCCAACTATATACTGGTTCAGTAGTTCTTACATTCAAATTATATACTGGTTCAGTAGTTCGTTATGTACCAACTATATACTGGTTCAGTAGTTCTTACATCCCAACTATACACTGGTTCAGTAGTTCGTTACATCCCAACTATACACTGGTTCAGTAGTTCTTAAATCCCAACTATATACTGGTTCAGTAGTTCTTACATCCCAACTATACACTGGTTCAGTAGTTCTTACATCCCAACTATACACTGGTTCAGTAGTTCGTTACATCCCAACTATATACTGGTTCAGTAGTTCTTAAATCCCAACTATATACTGGTTCAGTAGTTCTTACATCCCAACTATACACTGGTTCAGTAGTTCTTACATCCCAACTATACACTGGTTCAGTAGTTCGTTACATCCCAACTATATACTGGTTCAGAAGTTCTTACATCCCAACTATACACTGGTTCAGTAGTTCTTACATCCCAACTATATACTGGTTCAGTAGGTCTTACATCCCAACTATATACTGGTTCAGTAGTTCGTTAAATCCCGTCTATATACTGGTTCAGTAGTTCTTACATTCCAACTATATACTGGTTCAGTAGTTCGTTACATCCCAACTATATACTGGTTCAGTAGTTCTTACATCCCAACTATATACTGGTTCAGTAGTTCTTACATCCCAACTATATACTGGTTCAGTAGTTCTTACATCCCAACTATATACTGGTTCAGTAGTTCTTACATCCCAACTATATACTGGTTCAGTAGTTCTTACATCCCAACTATATACTGGTTCAGTAGTTCTTACATCCCAACTATATACTGGTTCAGTAGTTCTTACATCCCAACTATATACTGGTTCAGTAGTTCTTACATCCCAACTATATACTGGTTCAGTAGTTCTTACATCCCAACTATATACTGGTTCAGTAGTTCTTACATCCCAACTATATACTGGTTCAGTAGTTCTTACATCCCAACTATATACTGGTTCAGTAGTTCTTACATCCCAACTATATACTGGTTCAGTAGTTCTTACATCCCAACTATATACTGGTTCAGTAGTTCTTACATCCCAACTATATACTGGTTCAGTAGTTCTTACATCCCAACTATATACTGGTTCAGTAGTTCGTTACATCCCAACTATACACTGGTTCAGTAGTTCTTACATCCCAACTATATACTGGTTCAGTAGTTCGTTACATCCCAACTATACAATGGTTCAGTAGTTCTTACATCCCAACTATATACTGGTTCAGTAGTTCGTTACATCCCAACTATACACTGGTTCAGTAGTTCTTACATCCCAACTATATACTGGTTCAGTAGTTCGTTACATCCCAACTATACAATGGTTCAGTAGTTCTTACATCCCAACTATATACTGGTTCAGTAGTTCGTTACATCCCAACTATACACTGGTTCAGTAGTTCTTACATCCCAACTATATACTGGTTCAGTAGTTCGTTACATCCCAACTATACAATGGTTCAGTAGTTCTTACATCCCAACTATATACTGGTTCAGTAGTTCGTTACATCCCAACTATACACTGGTTCAGTAGTTTGTTACATCTCGAATATATACTGATTCAGTAGTTCTTTCATCTCAACTATACACTGGTTCAGTAGTTCTTACATCCCAACTATATACTGGTTCAGTAGTTTGTTACATCCCAACTATATCCTGGTTCAGTAGTTCTTTCATCTCAACTATGCAATGGTTCAGTAGTTCTTACATCCCAACTATTTACTGGTTCAGTTGTTCTTACATCCCAACTATATACTGGTTCAGTAGTTCGTTACATCCCAACTATATACTGATTCAGTAGTTCTTACATCCCAACTAGATACTGGTTCAGTTGTTCTTACATCCCAACTATATCCTGGTTCAGTAGTTCGTTACATCCCAACTATATACTGGTTCAGTAGTTCTTACATCCCAACTATATACTAGTTCAGTAGTTCTTACATCCCAACTATATACTGGTTCAGTTGTTCTTACATCCCAACTATATCCTGGTTCAGTAGTTCGTTACATCCCAACTATATACTGGTTCAGTAGTTCGTTACATCCATACTATATACTGGTTCAGTACTTCTTACATCCCAACTATATACTGGTTCAGTAGTTCTTACATCCCAACTATATACTGGTTCAGTTCTTCTTACATCCCAACTATACACTGGGTCAGTAGTTCTTAAATCCCAACTATATCCTGGTTCAGTAGTTAGTTACATCCCAACTATATACCGGTTCAGTTGTTCTTACATCCCAACTATATCCTGGTTCAGTAGTTCTTTCATCTCAACTATACAATGGTTCAGTAGTTCTTACATCCCAACTATATCCTGGTTCAGTAGTTCTTACATCCCAACTATACACTGGTTCAGTTGTTCTTACATCCCAACTATACACTGGTTCAGTAGTTCGTTACATACCAACTTTATACTGGTTCAGTAGTTCTTACATCCCAACTATACACTGGTTCAGTAGTTGGTATGTAACGAACTACTGAACCAGAATATAGTTGGGATGTAAGAACAACTGAACCAGCGTATAGTTGGGATGTAAGAACTACTGAGCCAGGATATAGTTGGGATGTAACAAACTACTGAACCAGTATATAGTTGGTACATAACTACCTACTGAACCAGTATATAGTTTGTACATAACGAACTACTGAACCAGAATATAGTTGGGATGTAAGAACAAATGAACCAGTGTATAGATGGGATGTAAGAACTACTGAGCCAGGATATAGTTGGGATGTAAGAACTATATCCTGGTTCAGTATTTCTTACATCCCAACTATACCCTGGTTCAGTAGTTCTTAAATCCCAACTATATCCTGGTTCAGTAGTTCTTACCTCCCAACTATACACTGGTTCAGGTTATCTTACATCCCAACTATATCCTGGCTCAGTAGTTCTTACATCCCAACTATATACTGGTTCAGTAGTTCACTACATACCAACTATATACTGTTTCAGTAGTTTGCTGCATCCAAACTATGAACAACAGTTTATGATGTTGTTATGATACATCCCAAACATACACTTGCCAAGCGTTATATGTCACTACCCTGGTAGACTACTCTGCATACATAGGTGGCATTGGTCAATATTGTAACACTTGGTCCCTATTACAATTTTGCAACACAAAAATTTTGAGCCCTTCATAACGAGTTTGTGAACCTTTTTTTTGCTAAAGGAGCATGAACGCCAAATAACACCAGAGAAAGTGGAATTATATTAAGTGCATCCTACATTTTTCTATATCTACCCCAACGACAAGGAATTACCCATTTTTCATAAAAATCATTTGTTTTAGCTATGACCACACTCAAGCATTAAATTTTAAGTACGATCAACTTGACACTTGGCCTTTAGGCAAAAAAACACCCGTTACTCAAAACCATAGTTTTGTAAGGAAACCAAGAAACTGGAGACATTAAGCTCTGATGGAGGTTATTGGTAACCATGTAACCAACAGTCATATGACATGTGAAAGATGGATTTGTATATAGTGTAACCAACAGAATCATGTTCCTGTATTGGTACTAGTAGGTTATTATTCTTGTCATATTTGTCAGAATGTACATTTTAGCATCACCTGTTCCAAATACCTGCTTATTCTTTTGGTTGAAACAAATTAGTGAAGTTTGTAGGATCATGAAACAATTTGGTCTTGAAATATTTAGTGCTAATTTAGCAATGTAGTTTTATATAGATCTACATGTACATACTGTTCAAAAGAACAGTACATACTCTATACTTATTGTAAATATTTCTTATTTCCTATATAATTTTGACAAATTCCCAACAGAAATATTGATTTATTACCAACTAAAATGTGAACCTCAGTCTGAGACTGTTTCATGGCCAGACTTTTAAAATAACATAACTTACTAAATTTTATTACTCTTTTGAAGCGATACAACTTTTCAGTGTGCTTTATGGTACCACTGGTGGGTCTATCTATGGAAACAAATCAGAATATGGTGGCTGTCTAATTAAATGTTTCTAAAATTACATTGTATTATTCCACAGAATTTATAACCATCAACATCCATAGTACAACAGTGATGCATAAATATGTCAAGAACAGTAACAAAATATCGACCACAAATACATCTCATTGCATTTGTCCCTCAGAATGTGTAATAACAATAATGTTTTATTTTAACAATAATTATTTTCAATTACGTTATATTAGATAAAATGTTATTTTACTTGACGTATCAAACAGCATAACAATTAATAGTACTGTACATCTATATGTTAACATTATGTGGGAGAGAATCAATCAGAATTCAAAAGTTCAAAAAGAATTCAGCAGGGAAAACTATAACAAAATATTGTGTCTTTTAAGAATCATTATGATTGTAAACACCTCATTTTACAAATACTAGTGAATAATCATGTTCACAAATGCTATTCCACATCTAAGGCTGTCCTAGAGTTTGCTTTTCAATGCACTGTTAAATTGAGTCTTGTGTATCTGTATTTTAAGTAAAGGTAATTTTCAAGTTAAGGAGTTAAAGGAATCACAATATTCATCAGAACATGCTAGACATGTTATTCTGTAAGAGCTGTGATCATCAGTCTTGGGATGCTGGTTAGAAATGGAGGATTAGATACACATTTGAAATCCCTATTTCAGAACTAACAAGCTTCCAAGTTTGTCTCCCTTCATATTTTTACACGATTTCAACTTCAGAAACATATATTTTTACTTCATCTGGTTACATGTATTTGACTCAATTTTTACACTTCATATGTATATTGTAAAATGTCCTGATGATATGTGTAAATATTATGCCAGGATCTTCTGTCAGTTGAGTACTACTATTACATATAACAGATAGGACTAGAAGTGTGTATCTGACACAACAATTGACATTTTGATGTAGTAATGGGACATTTTGCAAATTTTCAAAACCAAATTCACTTCAACACAGTCTGTCATTAAATTACATCAGTAGTTATTTATGTTGCCAAAGCTGATTTATGATGCTGTTTAATATTAATCAGCAGAATAACGTTACAGACTTGCATATGTTATTTAAAACATGTACATGCACATAATTCACAAAACTTTAATGGTATAGATACATGTACTATGTCGTATATATTTATGTATATAAAACACAACACTTAAAAGTTATGACCATAAACTGTTGAGTTAAACATGAAATATATACAGAAACAAATCCAATATCACCTCACACAACTATAAATACTTATATATTTATATATACTGAGGTAAAACTGATATCTACCTGTCATACTGATATATAAATACTACAGGTATATTCGAAGGTAAAACTGACATCTACCTGTCATATCTATATATAAATACTACAGGTATGTGCGTAAGTAAAACTGATATCTACCTGTTATACCGATAAATACTGCAGGTATATATACAGATGTAAAACTGATATCTACCTGTCATACCTATACATAAACATGTACACAACAGGTATATGCGTAAGTAAAACTGATATCTACCTGTTATACCTATAAATACTGCAGGTATATATACAGATGTAAAACTGTTATCTACCTGTCATACCTATACATAAACATGTACACAACAGGTATATGCGTAAGTAAAACTGATATCTACCTGTCATACCTATACATAAACATCACAGGTATATATACAGAAGTAAAACTGATATCTTCCTGTCATACCTATATATAAATACTACAGGTATATGCGTAAGTAAAACTGATATCTACCTGTCATACGTATACAGAAACACCACAGGTATATATACAGAAGTAAAACTGGTATCTACCTGTCATACCAATACATAAACACCACAGGTATAAATATACAGAAGTAAAACTGATATCTACCTGTCATACCTATATATAAATACTACAGGTGTATATATACTGAAGTAAAACTGATATCTTCCTGTCATACCTATATATAAATACTACAGGCATATGCGTAAGTAAAACTGATATCTACCAGTCATACCTATACAGAAACACCAACCACAGGTATATATACAGAAGTCAAACTGGTATCTACCTGTCATACCTATACAGAAGCACCACAGGTATATATACAGAAGTGAAACTGATATCTACCTGTCAAACCGATATATAAATACTACAGGTATATGTGTAATTAAAACTGATATCTACCTGTCAAACCGATATATAAATACTACAGGTATATGTGTAAGTAAAACTGGTATCTACCCGTCATACCTATACATAAACATCACAGGTATAAATACAGAAGTAAAACGGATATCTACCTGTCATACCTATATATAAATACCACAGGTATATGCGTAAGTAAAACTGATATCTACCTGTTATACCTACAAAAGTAAAACTGATATCTACCTGTCATAAACTGATATCTACCTGTCATACATACCGATGTAAAACTGATATCTACCTGTCATAAACTGATATCTACCTGTCATACATACAGATGTAAAACTGATATCTACCCGTCATTCCTACAGAAGTAAAACTGATATCTCCCTGTCATACCTATACATAAACATCACAGGTATAAATACAGAAGTAAAACTGATATCTGCCTGTCATACATACAGATGTAAAACTGATATCTACCCGTCATACCTATACATAAACATCACAGGTATAAATACAGAAGTAAACCTGATATCTACCTGTCATACCTATATAAAAATACTACAGGTATATATACAGAAGTAAAGCTGATATCTACCTGTCATACATACAGATGTAAAACTGATATCTACCCGTCATACCTATACATAAACATCACAGGTATAAATACAGAAGTAAAACGGATATCTACCTGTCATACCTATATATAAATACTACAGGCATATGCGTAAGTAAAACTGATATCTACCTGTCATACCTGCAGAAGTAAAACTGATATCTACCCGTCATTCCTACAGAAGTAAAACTGATATCTCCCTGTTATACCTACAAAAGTAAAACTGATATCTACCTGTCATAAACTGATATCTACCTGTCATACATATACATAAACATGTACACAACAGGTATATGCGTAAGTAAAACTGATATCTACCAGTCATACCTATACAGAAACACCACAGATCTACCTGTCATACCTATACATGAACACCACATGTACATATACAGAAGTAAAACTGATATTTACCTGTCATACCTACAGAAGTAAAGCTGATATCTACCTGTCATACATACCGATGTAAAACTGATATCTACCTGTCATACCTATATATAAATACTACAGGCATATGCGTAAGTAAAACTGATATCTACCTGTCATAAACTGATATCTACCTGTCATACATACCGAAGTAAAACTGATATCTACCTGACATACATACAGATGTAAAACTGATATCTACCCGTCATTCCTACAGAAGTAAAACTGATATCTACCCGTCATTCCTACAGAAGTAAAACTGATATCTACCAGTCATACCTATACAGAAACACCACAGGTATATATACAGACGTAAAACTGGTATCTACCTGTCATACCTATACAGAAACACCACAGATCTACCTGTCATACCTATACATAAACATGTACACAACAGGTATATGCGTAAGTAAAACTGATATCGACCTGTCATACGTATACAGAAACACCACTGGTATATATACAGAAGTAAAACTGGTATCTACCTGTCATACCTATATATAAATACTACAGGCATATGCGTAAGTAAAACTGATATCTACCAGTCATACCTATACAGAAACACCACAGATCTACCTGTCATACCTATACATAAACACCACAGGTACATATACAGAAGTAAAACTAATATCTACCTGTCATACGTATACAGAAGCACCACAGGTATATATACAGAAGTGAAACTGATATCTACCTGTCAAACCTATATATAAATACTACAGGTATATGTGTAATTAAAACTGATATCTACCTGTCAAACCGATATATAAATACTACAGGTATATGTGTAATTAAAACTGATATCTACCTGTCAAACCGATATATAAATACTACAGGTATATGTGTAATTAAAACTGATATCTACCTGTCAAACCGATATATAAATACTACAGGTATATGTGTAATTAAAACTGATATCTACCTGTCATACCTACAGAAGTAAACCTGATATCTACCTGTCATACCTATACAGAAACACCACAGATCTACCTGTCATACCTATACATAAAAACCACAGGTATATATACAGAAGTGAAACTGATATCTACCTGTCAAACCTATATATAAATACTACAGGTGTATATATACTGAAGTAAAACTGATATCTTCCTGTCATACCTATATATAAATACTACAGGTGTATATATACTGAAGTAAAACTGATATCTTCCTGTCATACATACCGATGTAAAACTGATATCTACCTGTCATAACTATACAGAAACACCACAGGTATATATACAGACGTAAAACTGGTATCTACCTGTCATACCTATACAGAAACACCAACCACAGGTATATATACAGAAGTGAAACTGATATCTACCTGTCAAACCGATATATAAATACTACAGGTATATGTGTAATTAAAACTGATATCTACCTGTCAAACCGATATATAAATACTACAGGTATATGTGTAATTAAAACTGATATCTACCTGTCATAAACTGATATCTACCTGTCATACCTGCAGAAGTAAAACTGATATCTACCAGTCATACCTATACAGAAACACCACAGATCTACCTGTCATACCTATACATAAACATGTACACCACAGGTATATATCCAGAAGTAAAACTGATATCTACCCGTCATACACACAGAAGTAAAACTGATATCTTCCTGTCATACCTATATATAAATACTACAGGCATATGCGTAAGTAAAACTGATATCTGCCTGTCATACATACAGATGTAAAACTGATATCTACCCGTCATACATATACATAAACATCACAGGGATATATACAGAAGTAAAACTGATACCGGTATCTACCTGTCATACCTATACATAAAAACCACAGGAATATAAATACAGAAGTAAAACTGATATCTACCTGTCATACCTATACATAAAAACCACAGGTATATATACAGAAGTAAAACATATATATCCTCTGCTGTTATATTATCAATGTTTCATTCATGAAAGTTAATACATTATGTAGGTTCACACACATCTTTTATTTAATTACTCGAAATTAAAGCGTAATCTGTATCCTCCAAATGAAAGAACCAGTGGTACAAGCTTTGTTACTTTACTGACAAAATTGCTCTAGATTAATTATTCTTATCCTTGGAAGATTTACAAAATTTTCAAAAGTGTGTACAGTTGTTGTTTTAAGATAATAATTTAACCCCAAAATATATATATTTTTAATCATTTATTTATGTAATGATATTTCACACAATAAATTTGTACCAACTTGTCAAAAAGCTAATGAGGGTCCTCTGAACAACCATGTCTTTATTCATACACCGAGCAACTGATGAGAACCTCATGACAAAATCCCACTGTCACCAAGACATAACAAAACAAAGTTACAGCTCACTGTTTCAAAATTAATTTGTCTTAAAAGTGTGTGAAAAACTATCTTTTAAATGGTAATATCCCTCACAAAGTGAATACATTATTTTGTGATAAAAACACATCAATACCGATTCTTTCCTCAATACAATAAAGGAGAGAAGATTTCTAATTTATACGATGTACTATATCATAACTCTTACATGTTGATTTTATAAACACATTTGGTCCTGCAGATAGTTCAATTCAATATACACTTTATCAAAGATGTGAGTATTTTGTGTCATTCAAATTAACAGGTCAATAAATGATCTTTTAATCTGAATAATCTCCTATTGTACATCATAACCTGAAAGAAATATAGTTTTATGTCAATAACCGGATTTGATGGCCAACATGATGAAAAATAAATTAATTTACGAATATACAAAGTGTGGGTTGAAATAGCAATACATTTGCAACTATTGTTTAGTGATGAATTTCAATAAAGCACCAAGAATGACAGAAGTCAGGTTACAATACTTACAGGGGTGAACAAACATATAATCATGGTATAAAATTAACATATAACATGTACATATCACAATGGTGGAGAAACCTGACTACAATTATTTAACACTTAATACATATATCACATGGTGCAATACATGTTACTACATGTACTAAGGTGACAGTACCCAAATTGAATCACCAAACCATCATTTTATTAAATCATTGAAAAATCTGACGAGTAATTATATTTATTTATGGTTGTATCAAAAGAAGGATATCAATTAGTGTTCTTACAATCAAAATTAGCATCCGGGGCTCATTTGAGATATTTAAAGAAGGTTCTGAAGTCACCAATCAGCGTCTCCGTTTTTTGTGAATGACGGGACCAAAATTGGATCATGGCTTGAATTTTGCAGTATCTTACGTTTCAAATGAATATTTTTTTTCAGCATATTAACATTTTTTGATGACCTTTAGAACTTATATGACAAAAGGTATTTCTATAGTGTGAGTTTATTCTTATTGTCTAAAACTTAATGCATAGTCGTCGCACGCGCCATTTTTTAGAAACGTAATCAAATCACTGACATTTGAGTTTGAATTTCGTTTTCTTGTGCTATTTGAACTCAAAAACAAATCATCTGTAGGCAAAAAATGGTGCATGGCTATCTATTCTAAGATTACATCATTGTTATAACTGATTTGCTGACACATTTATTGATTTATAAGTATTTTTGCAAAAAGTGATCCAATTTTGGTACTGATCTGATTTGGGTACTGCCACCTTATACACCCAAACACTTTTCCAGAATTTATAATCGGAACTTTTTGAACCTCAAAAGAGATATTATTTTCATACATTTACATAGTTTCATTCCTAATGCAAATAGCCTGCCAACATAAACAATAAATATTTAGATTAAAAAATGTTGCACACATACCCGATACTAGTAAAATGTACTCGCATAAATATGATGATTGGTAGTGTTGCAAATTACAAATGATTCCTAGTATTTAATTTCACACTTATGAACTAACTGTAGCATTACCTATCACTTTTAACTCTAGCTGCTTTACATAATGAAATATAAAAACCAGAATGGTACTACAGATGATAGCTCTGTATGTTAGGTATGGTATACTGTAGGGGTGACTGTAACACTTTGTGTTCGGTGGGTAAGGCAGCAGTAGTTGGTAGGCAAGGCAGTGATACATTTCTAGTTACTACACCAACACGAAATTACACAAAAATCATTAATGGTATCAATGTCTATTTACCCGGTATGTAGATACAAGGTTTGAATACAGATCATGAAGATGTTAATTCAGCTGATATGGGAGACACTAATGAGTTTGTAGTATATCTATGGTAATGGATACATCTGTGAAATAGAGTTAGGAATAGTTCTACCAGTGTAATCCCTTTGTAAATGTGTGAGAGTATTGACTGTTTGTGTACTGGACAGTGTTAGGATCAGCTAGATTATCTCCCCTTATCCACACTGACGTGCAGTGGACCGTGGAGCCTGTGACAATCAAACTATTGCAGACAATAACCACATTCCCCGCAATCACAGTAAAGTGGCATCAGGGCCAATATTTCAGTTCAGAAAAGACATCAATGGAATCTAATTACAGGTTTAGTTTAATTTCCCTGAATAGGAAGATTGCTTTCACTGTTTGTCATTTGAGCAAAACAATTAAGATTCAGCACCTGTTTCAACAAATCTGATATCGATTTTCTCAGCCATATTGATTTGATAAACTTCAAAGTAACCAACTTAAAAATATTGGAAAATATTTCTATCACAAACCGGACTTGGACAGAGATAACAGTGAAAGTCTAGTCAATAATTGGATTACTTTGTCAGTGAACTATCTGTAACAAGCATACAAGTACTTGTATGATGATATCATAATCTAAGATTGTATCAATCAAAAGGGAATGCTTTTAATGGGAAATATAGACATATCTCTGCATCTATCTTCATCAAAAATAAGCATAAGAACAATATATATAGATATAGACATATGCACATGAAATAGAACTTGGTTCCTAATAAAATTGGTCACATGACAAAACCCTGTTAATAAGAAATGTAAATAATGAAAAGGCAAGAAGTGTTTTACTATAACTGTGAGTAATGTTTCCACTTAATTATAGCTGCTAAATTGCCTGGCATTTGGTCATTTTATGATTTAATAATTTTACAATGCTAGGTCTTTTTAAGCACTTTTTTAAATCTAAGAAGACCCTGTACAATAATTTAAAACCCATAGAGCTTGATAATTGAAAAAGAAACATACCCAAATCAACAAGGCCGTGTTTTCCCTAGCACAACTGCTTGTAGTAAAACCTATATACATGTATTTATAAATACTTATACTGGAATGACACTGAGAGTACATGTTTAAATAAATATGTAAAGGATTTTTTACATGAGAACTACATACATTATGTATCGCCATGAACACTTAAGTATCCATATGTACAACACACGTTAAATCATGTTTCTTTCTACCTGTAAAATTTCTTGTTTCTCAATAAAAATGTTTTAAATTCATTTTGAAGTATCTTGTGAACCCAAAGTTAAATAGGGTCCAAAAAAATCAATGATGTCTATAGCATGACATTTAAATTTGATGATGTCAAAATGGAATCTTACCCTTATTGATGGAATGGTTCAATTATCTACCCAAATTTATCTCAAGACATCATTAATACTAGTAAATAGTGAAAACACTACCATAAGTTTTTAAAACTATGTAACATCCCTTACACGCTTACTTAAGTACCTCCAAGATAAAATACATGTTTGATAGATTTACAACACTTCTAGATTTAAGTTATTTGTATAATGATAGGGCAGTTTACCCACAAAACATTTTTACATTTCAAATCTATTTAAATTATATTGCACTTTCCCATGAAACACGTATCTATTGATTTTTGTCATTGATATTTGTCATTTTAACAGATTTTCCTGGTATTCTGTCAAGGAAGTCTCGGGAAACAGCTTTTCAATGAGATGATCAAGGAGTGTACACATAAAATTCCTGAAAAGAACAGAAGAATAAAGTGTAAACATTGTGCTCATTGAAATGTTTAATAGTATTTGTACCAGTCATGCATACATATTTACTAATGCTAGGTTCCCAATGTCGTGCGATCCTTTACGAACTCCAGGATTGGCCTTTCAAAGCTGATCGTGGAATTTCTCTGAAATTTCAGGTTTGGATACGAGGTGATGCAAGTCGATATGTTCTGATATGATTTGTTGCGCTCAGTTGCTATCTGGTCACGATCTGTCACTGCCGGATCTTCCGTTCAGATACGATCACATACATTCCGATATGATTGTTTCGATCAAGATCACGATTGGGTCTCGATCTGAACGATCATCGTGATAAGGTTCCCTGAATTGGGATGGCCTGGTACGTGCAGATACGTTCCGATACGTTAATCACGAACCGATAATAGGATACGATTGTGGTTGCGACGCCTTTCACCCTGAAAGGCGTTTGCTGTACAGGACCACATTTTTCATGAGGAACTCAATGATTTCCTCCTTTTAATGTTCAGAGAAGACAGTGACTGTTTTTTTCTCTCTTTGCTTTCTAGGAGGGGTAGCTGTCATCAGTCATCTGGTATATATTTGGGTACAAGAACTTATAACAGATCGTGAGTTCGTGTAAAAACGTAACTACTCGTATCTACTCGCATCTTCTTGTATCAACTACTATCTGCTCATTAGTCATTCGTGTCAGGTCTTGAGCAATGGGACCCGACAGAGTGTGACGAATCCTGGGAGATCGCAACACATCTCAACAGAGCGTGGTGTTTGTCTTGTCTAAGATCGATCCCTATCACCACGATTTGGAAGCAGGATTAGAAGTGATCTGTCGCGCTTTGTTACGATGTAATATGATCTGATACGATGATCCCAATTGACAATTGATCATGTTGATCGTAGAACAACTTTGAAATGTTCAAAAAGTTTCTACGATTAACAAGATTGCCACCAATGACCTCAAGATCTGATAGGATCACCATGATTAGTCTACGATTGTGACCAAGATTTCAATCGTGCTGTGAATCGTGATAGTGGGAACCTTAGAGCATAAGGTATAACATCAAAGCAAAAATATGTATGTTCACATCAGCGTATCATTTTTATACTGATAATAGTGAACAGCATCCCTTAAACCACTGAAATATTAATACAAGTCCCTGGGTTCCCCCCTCCCACACTAACCCCTGAACATGTGATCTAAGGTTTCAAAGGCTCCTGGACATGTTACCTGTTCAGTTTCTGGTGTTCCATAGACTCTATGATCTCGTCCATACTGAATTGGTAATCCTCCGATCCTACAAGCTGTTTCAGAATGTCTGCAACAAACAAAACTCACACTCTGAACATTTGTAGTTTACCATACATTCACCTGTGGTATTAAACTTCAATCAGTTAAAATTCTTTGCTGATGTTTAAGTGAATGTAACTGCATACTTAATAACAATACAGTGAATGCTGGTTACTTAATTTTTGTGTTTCAACAAGTCTTCAAAATATCTCAAAATTTGACTGCTTATGAGTACCAGGTAATTATAAACGCTAATATAAAACTCCTTATTGGGAGATGACTTCTTTAATTGGTCTAACTGGTCAACAAGACCATGTACTAATTTACATTCTAACACAATTTGTTTGCAACACATGTTTTGATTGGATACAGACCATGTTCTAATCTGCGATAGAATCATGATCAATGGTGTTAAGCTCCACCCATCGCACTTAACGGTAAGCCACACCCCATTTCTAACCAAAACTAAATGGTGTCAAGCTCGTCTCTTCATGAAATTCAACACTCTGCTACATTTATTATTGATGACTCATCCACAATTTTGTCGATACGCACAGATTTGCATGCATACTGACATGGAAATGGAAAATTTGGCAATGTTAATCTAAGTGTGTCATAAACTTTGGTAACAGGACATTCATGAACAATCCAAATATTCTGGTTGTCAACATACAGATCAAGTGCTTGGCAGTATGGGCAGGGCCAAATGACCTGACTTTTGAAAGCTTCTTTCTGATTGGTCAGTCCGCTTCAGAATGGCATGTCACCAGCACAGGTCACAAAGTACTTTACTACATACTTGTAGCAAGGTAAATACAATGTTTCCAAACATATTAGCGTAGTTTAATGCGGATAGTACATTGTTTTGTGTGTCTATACTGGCAACTAGAACATGAAATTTGGTTTAAACTCTCAACCTATTGGTCTCAAGTTCAAACCAAATTTCATGTTCTAATCGCCATCATAGCCACTCAAAACAACATATCATCCCCAAATTAGACATGTTACAAAATTGCTTCTCTTTGTAAAAAGTACATGAAATCACCTGGAAAGAACTCTGCCAAGCACCTCCTAGCCTGCTCCTTGGTGGCTGCTTTCTGTTTGTCAGTTTTGACCATCCTTCCCTCCATGGACAACTGTCCATTGGGCCAGAGCGTTTCACGAAGCTTTCTGATGTAGAACACGCACATCTTCTCAGATGTCAGGGTATCCAACTCCATCATCAGAAACCTAAAGGATGTCATAAATTACACCAAAAGTCTAGAGGATGTCAAAGATTACGACAAAAATCTAGAGGATGTCAAAGATTATGACAAAAATCTAGAGGATGTCAAAGATTACAACAAAAATCTAGAGGATGTCAAAGATTACAACAAAAATCTAGAGGATGTCAAAGATTACAACAAAAATCTAGAGGATGTCAAAGATTACGACAAAAATCTAGAGGATGTCATAAATTACACCAAAAGTCTAGAGAATGTCAAAGATTACGACAAAAATCTAGAGGATGTCAAAGATTATGACAAAAATCTAGAGGATGTCAAAGATTATGACAAAAATCTAGAGGATGTCAAAGATTATGACAAAAATCTAGAGGATGTCAAAGATTATGACAAAAATCTAGAGGATGTCAAAGATTACAACAAAAAATCTTTGTATAAGACATAAGGTTAACTGATACTGGTGAAGGAAAATCTTTTGGAAATCCAAGATTCGCCTGTTCAAGTTTATTATATAACATACCGGTATATGAAGTTAAAGGAACAAAAAAGTAAAAATCCTTTTATTGAGTAGTCTGATTGACCACTTAAGTATACCTGTGAAAGGCAGTACATTTGTACAAGCCAGGTGTTTAGCTAGTCTGACCTGTGAAGGGCAGTACCAGCCAGGTGTTTAGTTAGACTGACCACTCTATCTCTGGTCACCCAGCAGTCCCGACTCTGTAAAGCCTGTATGGCCAGGTCAATGACAGCTTCAGCCAAAGCAATCTCATCTGTACAGTCGGTCTTACTAGGATGGCCATCTAAAATTGAAAAGGTACAAGTTACCTCTCTCACATCCAGTAAATTTCACTTAATTCACAGGTCTAGTAAGAGCAAACAAGTACATTTCAGGTGTCTATTGTTTTGACTACCATAAAGCATGTACGACTTGTTTAATCAAACATTGTTGAAAGAATTCTTGATCCTTAACCCCATTAAAGTTTATCAAGAGCTCACAACAAAATCTGTGTATTTGGTCCGACCTAACTTCCACAGTACTACCTACCTGTGAATCCTTCTCCACTTGCTGGGTTGGACTCTGTTGAGGGGTCCACTTTCTCATCCACACAGTTCAGGCTGTCAGTCACAGTGTGTTTGGTGTCAGTTTGAACATCTGCTATTATTAATTTATCTTTCAGTGATAAAGTAGGTGTTTCTACTCCAGGAGAAGATACTATTTCCTCATCAGGACTAGAATATCCACCCGTTGTGATCTCCATTTCCTCTGTGACTTCACAAACAGAACTATCTGGTGATGATGTTGTGGGCGATTCATGGTTCAGCTGTTCACTCACATCACTAATAATGAGGTCAGCAGTGGGCATGGCTACAGCCTTTGTAGTGATGAGGTCAGCAGTGGGCATGGCTATGCCCTTCACAGCCTTTGTGCCTTCAACACCATCCAGTTTGGTGTGATCCTCATATACTGGTGTGGTGGGAATTTCAATGTCTGGACAATCAGTATCGCCATGCTTTCTCATGTAATGGTTCAACTTTCCATGGAAGTTTGAAACCTAAGTAAATGAAATTGTTTTAGGACATAAAAAAGAGGATACCGTATTCTAAATCAACTGGCATTATTAATCATCAAATATTACATGATTTTATTTGTAACTTCATTTTTTTTTTATATATATTTGCATTGCTAAATAAACAATTGTTAATTGAACCAGACACTGTTATGTATTCTACAATCTACAATGGTAGATGCAGGTTTGCATCAGCTGCATGTTCACCAATTACTCTGTAATATTTGGTTCTAACAGTAAATGTTTTGGCCGATCAGAATCATGAACAAATTAAAGCTGACTCAGTTAATCAGCTATGATATAACCACAGCCATCTTGAATCTAGATTCCTGAAACTTAAAAGTTAGTCATTTGTCCTGAAATATACAACTCAAACATTATTTCCACTAAGCAATGTCAGTCCTATAAAACCCCAGTTATTTTCCTTAATGTTTCTGCCAATCAAATCAGGTTGGCTGTTTGTAGATATTTCGGAAGGAATTCAAATTTGGTCTTGGTGATTTAATATATACAAAAGCCATATGTGCCACTCCTACAATGTACATGATATGAACCAAGTCAGCCACATAGAACTCTCAACCAACTCAACCAATCAGAGGCCACAGCAGCCATCTTGAAATCCTGAAAATTAAAAGTTGGTCACTTGATCTGAAGTATTTAGCACAAAGTATGAACAATGGCTCAATAAATTCAAATTATAGTCCTATTATGGCTATTATGTCCAATCATATACTGCAGTGGAACAAGTAACTAATAGGAGCTTAAAAAGTTGGATTTGGTAATTTAATGTACAGTATATACCCCAACACATTATGTGTCACTCCTAAAAAGTATAAAAAATACAACTCAGCCCAATAGAAGCGAGTTATACTTGTAAATGGTACTAACACAGGCCAAGGCAACCATCTTGAACCTGAAAAGTTGGTCCTTTTATCTAAAGTATACCCCATGTACCATGTTTACAAAGTATGAACAACATCCCCCTCGTTGAACTCAAGTCATACTTTTTTGTATATGAAAAACATTATACTGTTGTTACATTCAACTGTGCAAGTCTCAGGTTGATCTACCAACCTTACTCTCACTGAAATCGACATTGATCAGGTCCAGATCTTTCACTGGCTTTTCTTCATCCTCAGACACGTTATCCTTTTTGCCTGGTAATTTTGGCAACACCTCTTGTGCCTTATTAGAAAGTTCTCCAATCTTATCAAACACATCCGACATGGTTTTCACAAACATCTGCAAATATAACAGAGGAACTAAATCAGATTGTCTTCATCATTTGTTAAGGGTAAATAAAATGGCCACAATTAGGCCAGTTATTATTCTCCAATAGTTTTTTTTAGAAGACATGGAGTTAGCTGTCTTTACTAAATGGTGAACTCACGACATCTCCAAAGCGTATGTATGTATCACTTCTCTTTAAATAGGTTATAGTTTAGCATTAACTGCTTTCAGATGCCATTCATTGCCAATATGAATGCCCACTGCATTACAGTAAAATGACATGAACAGCATTTTAACCATGGTTTCATCGCAGAATAGACTATTTCTTGTACAATAATTTCAAACGAGAGTCAAACAAGATTTTCCACATTGCTCGTTTACTTTCTGATCTCTTTTGTATTAATTCTCACTTTCGGTTCATAATATTATGACCTGAAAACTAGTTCCATTGTTTATATACTGACATTGCAAAGGAAATATAAATAAAGTATAGTGATAACTTACCTTGTCTATTCTTGGTACCGATATTTCTGGAGCCTTCCTCACAAATGCTATATGGCCATCTCCTTCATAGGCTAGGAACTCCTTCAGCTCAAACCCATTACATATATCAAGCTTTTGGATCAATGACTAGAAACAAAATAAAGTTACTTCTTACAACACTTCTTCAATTTTGAAAATAAAGTGTCACTGCAGAATGATTAAAGTTCAAAAGCAAAACATTCAGACAATAAATCACCAATTGATATTATAACACCATACACAGTGTTTAATTTATTCCTGACACAATAAATGGCATGTAATTTAAAATACATGACACTTCAATGGAAATTTATAAAACATTGTTTACTTACCTTTAGGAATGTCTCTAGACTCTTCCTGCGACTCTCAACACTCCTCTTATCCATGTTTCCAAACGGTAGAGAAAGCCATCTCCTTGGCCCCTTCACATCTGTAACAGTTAAAAACAAAAGGTGAATTTCATATAAAGCAACCAATATATATGTAGTTAAGTTTGGATAAATACAGAGAATATCAAGGAAGTTGCCACTTTCCAGGCATTACAATCTTCAGCAAATATCCTACAAACCAGCTAGATCGGGGACATGTTTGAGATTTTTTATCATATGCTCAATCGAAGGATTAACAATATACATCTTTTTTTTCCCACACGATATTTGATGTCATTTTATGGTATTGTTTCATACAACTGACAGTGGGTGACTTTACATGTTACATATGAAAACTTCATCTGATGACTTGTACAATGTACAGATTAGAGTGATTAGGTACAGAATCTGGCCTCGGTTTCACAAAACAACTTTAAGATGGGCTGTGATTTTTCCTATATACAATACAAACAACCTTGTAATTTTGTAATACACTATAGCACAGTTGGGCCAGACAAGTTCTGTTGATCAGATACTTTATAAATCAATTAGTCAGCGAGAATGATTTTACAACAATATGAAGTCCAGGGTCCAGGGTTCGAATCCAGATCTAGCCCCGCTGAATATTTACTCAAAAATAGAAGTTATAATGCCTAGTTAAGGATTTTTGTCATAGTATGTGGAACCTTTAGTTATTAAGATTGTTTAGCCACAAAAAAATAGTGACCTTAAGGAAAGGTCTTAATTTATGAAACAAGGTTACCATGGGTTTCTGTTTTTCAATTTTGATTACACATAAATATGTATAATATATTGTTACTCTACTTTATACATTACACTGTTTTCATTTATTGAAACAGACATTACTTACATATGAACAAGCGAAATAATGTATTACTGTGGTAAACCTTGGCAAGTAGGTTGAATTTGGAACTTTCCTTTTGAAAATTAGTTGAGATATGATATGAGATTGAAGTAATTTTTTACACCTTATACCTGAACTCAAAACAATTAACAATTTAACAAAGTTCTATCAATCAATGGCCTTTATGTGTACTTTACCTAATCAGTATTAACAAGTTTCATCACTTACCCTTTAAACTTTTCCTGTATGCTTCATTATCCTCCAATCGAGCCTGAAGGTTCACAAACTCACGGAATCGTCTTTTTACACTTCTGGTGCGAATCTCCACTGAGTTTGACTCTGTGCTGTACAATGCCTCATACTGAAAAGCATTGTACATTTGCATGAAAATATTTCCAATCAATCCAAGATGTTTTTAATTCATTAATTCTAATGCTTTACATCAAAATCTTTTCAAGTTCACGATAGACCTGCTTAATATTCACAAAGAAGGTATTCAAATCTGATTCTATTAAAGTTCAATTTAAGAACAGAACCTTTGAAATTGAATGAGACCTTGATCGATTCTAAATATTCTAGAGAAAAAAACAGTCTGACAAAAAGGCAAGGTAATGGGATCCATTCATATACTAGACTCAATTTCAGCATGCAACACTCCACTATCCTAAGAGGTAACAAGTCACATGAAAATTTGGACAATTGTAGGTAACAGTGTATCTAAGCTATACCCTAGTGGACAAAAGGGACAGACAGAGTATAAAGCTACAATTATCATGTAATAACTATACTACAGAAGTAACAGTACAAGTGGGGACTTCAATTTCAATAACAAATTAAAGTATACAGCACATTTAATTTTACAGCTAGTCTACAAGTTTAAGTAGCTACCTGTATGTGGTACAATGTGTACTGTGTAGAACTTCTCATTTCCTGTCTCGTCTCTGTATCTGTAATGGCTACATCCACAAACAACATACTGGGTAGTTCTAGCGGTTCCAGCTTTTCAACTTCGATTTCCTCACTGTCCAGGTAAATATGCACTTTTGATGGCATGTCTTCATCATCTGTAGCACTACTCTCTGCACTAAAGTCTTCAGAGTCAGAGATCCCTGATACTGAAACAATACCAAGGTCACTCGGACAACTACGGGCCAATGTAGATTGGCCTTTATCACAGTATAAGGAGTTTCCATGGTCCCCATTTCCTACACTAAGCATGGAGCGTTCCTCTCCATACTCATCTAGTTGGTCTTTTCTCTGATTAGATATATCAGTTCCACACTGAAAATTTTGCAAATCATGTCTGCTTGATGCTGAGCTTGACCTTCTCATGACTATGATATCTGACCTGTGTGAGCGATTCTCGGGTAGATGTTGTTCTGATGAACTGTATCTGTTTTGATCTTGTACATCAGTGTTTTTCTGTTGGTCAGATATGCTTATTTCAACATCTTCCTGAACTGCATTTTGATATGCAGCTACTTTGGCACTTTCAAGATTTCTATCCAACAGGCTTTCTGATATTTCATTGTCATTTACGAAGCATGACACTTTCTCATCAGAGAGTATATTTATAATGCATTCATATAAAAAGTCTGAGTCAGACAGAAGTTCTATCACGGGTAAAAATATATTACATGTAAAAATCTCAACAAAAAGTAGATATGAGGTATTACAAAGGTGGAGATGATCAGAAAGAAGCTGGGACAGCAGAATCTGAACTATTGATCTGAAATATATAATCTCATTTTCCACTCCCCAAACTGCTGAATGATAGGAAAACTTTATCTCAAAGGCATCCTCCACTGAGTTAATTCTGCGTGAGGCATATAGATGTTGATTTGATGACAATCTACGCTGACTCAAGCGTCTTCGAGGTTGAGTTTTATACAATGTGCGAGCTACTTGAAACATGCGGAGGTGCTGCCTATAATGCTGGAGAATGTCTGCAAATAAATTGTAGGTATCAAGGTTTTGGAATCTTTTGCATAATTCAAGAAAGCATGTGTTGATAATGTCATGTGTTTCCTCCACTACAGAATCACTTGCTGAGGAGAATATACTATACCAAGGTCCTACAAAGTCTTTAGAAACAAGACACGAGAATAGCCGCACCTCGTCCGTCCACTTACATGTACCGATTTCTTCTCTAGGCGTCCAATCTTCTTCATGCATATTGTGGTCATACGAGGGTACACGGTTGACTTCCTCTTCCGAACCCATGGGTGCGTCTTTCCCAATAGACATGATAAGTTCTGCATTTTTAACAGTATCCTCGTCATGCTCGTGCGCATCATGAAACTCGTCGTCTGCTTTGCCTTTGGTCTCTTTCGGACCAGGCCCCTGTCCGCTCCTTGAAGTTGATCCAGGTTCATAGTTTATTTTCAATAATTTCACAAGTCGAAAAATATGTTTGAACAATACTTCGTGTTTTGTTACAAAAAGTAAAATAGAAACACCGAATGAAAAATTGGTTTGCACAGACGTCAGAACATGACATGCGACTACTGAGGCGAGGACAGCCAAAACGTAAACAAACACAACTGTCAACAGACGGACATAAAAGATGGAAGCGAATCCAACAAACAAGGAGATTATCACTATCTGTTGGAAAGACGAGAATCTATTATGGTATCCATAAATGTCTTTGATACGTCCCCATGTTTGTACAATCTTTTCATCCATTCTTATGGAAAACAGTAGCAATCCATGTCAAAATAGTTATCATCATAATTTTTGTGAGTGGAGGTCGCCATATTTAATCCCGCAGCAAAATTATCATGTGATCTGTCACATGAAGTTGACAATATGTTATATTAAAGCTGATCAATTCAATACCAAATATAAAGTAAAAATAATGCTTTAGAGCAGTGCTATTTGACCGTATTTCACCAGTGAATGAAATATGGATGCAAATGCGCTTTACCTCAAGAACAATCAAGGGAGATAAATCTCACAGTATAACGTTAGGCCTAACGATTCAATTCTTCTTCACAACGCGTTTTTTTTTTTTTTGGATAAATAACGTTGGTTGGCTAATTTGAAGTTATTCATACACGTATGCGCAAAAAATCCGACCCAAACACAAAGGTAAGTTAATCTTTGTTGGAGGTATTTTTGTTGTTGTTTGTTTTTCTTGACAGATTCATAATTCAAGTTCATTGCTTGTTGTAATTAAGTGGCAACTAATGCGCCCCGACGTAATATGTTATTGTGGATTTTTGAAGCATGAAAATTGTTATCCGAGACGGTTATTGAAAGGAATGAACGAAGTGAATAACATCACTTGTGTCTCATCCAGTGGTTTTCTCATTTCCCCACCAATTTCTGGTTACAAAATGTTATATATATATATATTGCATGGGTCAAAGAAGTAATATAGACGGTAAAATCCCATATAACACTGGATCCTAATGGAGGTATGTCCGTAGGATACGAATTACTTAAAATATTATATGGGGCAAAGAAGTAATTCCAACAGTGTGGACAAGTTTAGGTTGTCAAATTTTCGGAGCGATCCGCTCCTTTTTCAAGACACAGTGAAACAGAACAGTTACATGTACATATACA